TGGATAAATCGTCTCAGCTACCTGGGCGTTGGACGCGCACTGAACCAAACCGTAGGCCTCCTGTATGGTTCTCCTCTCTCTCTCTCCCCCTCGAGGGGTTGGCGGTGGGCTGACCTCATTTAGTCGCAAGTTTGTGTTTTTGTTTTTTTGATCTCTTTCTTTCTTTCCTTTTTTGTCCTGTTCTTGTTCTCTTGTCTGCGTTGGCATTTACTCCATTTCCCGTTCTCGATGCATGCAGAGGTGCATGGGAATTCATAATGGATGTATGTATGTCGGCTATGCGTTTCTTTGAGCCCTCACACCCCTCTCTCTATCTCTTTCTCTCTCTCCTTGAAAACAGCTACTTACAGGTGTTCTCACACGATTCGCGCTGTGGAAGTGGACACAGACATGTCCTTTCTTTGCATGTAAACTACCGGCGTTGTTTTTGTTCTTGTTTTCACCTCTTCTTGTTTAGTGTTGTTGTCGTCGCTGGCCTTTCCCGGTGTTTGAGTGGATGTGTGTTTGTTTGTTTCTTTTCCCCCTGCTTCTATCCTTCTCCTCTGCGCCAGCAGCCGTGGCTCAGACATGTTTTTTTTGTTTTTTGGAATTCGCGCAAACGTGTGTGTGTGTGTGGGTGGGTGTGTGGGTGGGTGCATGCTCGCACGCTTTGTTTTCCCCACCCTGCATTTATTGGTAGTGTTTGCGTTTGCTCTGCGTGGTGTACCTGCAGTTTTTCCTTCTTTTTTTTTTGGTGAGGGGTTGATGCGCTTCACTGATGCGCTGCCTCTTCTCCTGTTCCTGCCTGGGCCATCCAGCTCCTTCCTCTCTCTCTCTCTCTCTCCACCCTGCCTTGTTGCCGACGCACCACGCTGCCGCAGAAGTGAGTGAAGTCGCCCGAATGGTTCTTCCCAGCCGCCAGAAGGTAGACCGCCGCTCCCGCAAGGGCAGCAAGAAGCACCGCCCCGAGATTATTGTCGTGGACCTCAAGGACCACGTGCTGGGGCGCGCCGCCGCCATCGTCGCCAAGCAGCTTCTGCTCGGCAAGAAGATCACGGCTGTGCGTTGCGAGCAGCTGACAATCGCAGGGACGGAGATCCGCAACAAGATCAAGTACCTGCAGTTCCTCCGCAAGCGGAAGCTGTCAAACCCGAAGCTTGGCCCCTTCCACCACCGCAGCCCCTCTGACATCTTCCTGCGTACGGTGCGCTCCATGCTGCCCCGCTACACCAAGCGCGGCCAGAAGGCGCTGCGCCAGCTCGTCGCGTACGAGGGCGTTCCCACGAATGTTGTGCGCACCGGTGGCCGTGTGGTGATCCCCAAGGCGCAGCGTCACTACTGCTACCGC